AATCAAAGGAACACCATATTAGCTTACGACGGTTCGAAAAGACCAATGAGATGCTGTCGAACTGTACACAGCTGAGTGAACGACGCCTTGAAAGAGCCAAAAAAGACGCCGCTGTACATAGAGAAACAATAATGCAGGTAACGACAAACATTCATACAATCAAAATTGCAATAAGATAACATTGTGTTCATTTATAGATGAAAGCAGATTTGGAGTTCATTTTCAAAAAAATTCGGCTTTTCAAAAACGCCTTATCAACAACGTACCCACAAGTTTACAGTGAAGGTTAGTACCAGTTTTAAAAATTAATATCAAATGAAACATAATTTAACGTTTTTAGTCGAACAACAGTGCAAATCCAAACTTACAGAGGAAAAAGATGACGAATAAATGGATCAGGTTACTTGCAGACGATAATTTTAATGTTTCTTCTTTTTGGATTTCCTATCATCATCAGAAGAGGAACTAGTCGAATATTTTCGTTTTCTCTTGCTTTTCTTATGTCGATGATGAGAATGAGAACTCACAGAATCGGAATCGGATGAACTACTGAAATAGGTGAATCAGCTACACTGCCAAATCGAAAACAGTAGCACGAAATCTCACCTGCTATGCTTCCGGTGCTTTTTCTTCTTCTTTTTGTCCTTTTTATCCCTTTTCTTCTTATGCTTGTGCTTATGCTTCTTCTTTTTTTCTACTTAAAATTTAGCCATGAAATTATGAGGTATGAGTGGTAAATAAATTCTTGCCTAAAGGGGTCTCTCCATCACTTGATTCACTACTTGTAGAGCTTATATCAATCACTGTCGATTGTCCAGGCTTCAGTTGTATGTAGTTTCTGCACTAAATACCCCATTCATATTGTGCTATTGTTATTCATCAGTAAACATAGAAATTTATTTTTGGATTTACCTGATATGGAAGATGCCCAGGATACCCACATTTACGGCAAGCACCTGTCACTGTTTGTCTCACTTTTGCTAGGCCCGACACATCTAAAACAACTCTAAGTATTTCGGTCAATTTTGATTCTTGGAGATGCTTTGGCTAAGTAGAGATTAGTGGGTTATATCTATACTGCGAAACCGCATTCTTTCTGGAAAATAATTTGTTTGCTAGCTGCTTCAAACTTCAATTTAATCTCGCAAGCAATGTTGAACATGCATAGTCAAAAAATTCCGACAATCTTCGTTTAAGTAGAAGGAAAAGTGTTTCCTCCACTAACCTACGAAAGCATCTTCATCTTGTGGTGCTGCTACTGATGCTGCCAACTCGGCCAATGTACGACTACTAGTTGCCGATGAGCCTGGCCCACCGAAAGCTCGCCTATAAGGCATAGGTTCCATATTGGAGCCGGACATCTTTAAACTTTCTTAAAGAGAATCAATTGAGAAGGGATAGGAATATATCAGGCTTGGAAAATGGTTCAGGCAGGCAAACGTCTATCCAAGCGACCAATTGTCATTCATTACTCCATAAAATAATCGTTTATTTCATGAGAAGAAAAAAAAACATTCGTAAAAAAGCAATTGATTTTACTCTACACTTAATTTTAATTTATTCATCACAATACTAAAGATCAAATTACCCGCCATGAATATTCATTGCTAAGCAACCTTTCGAAGTTTTCTGGGAAATGATGCTTTTCAACAAAAGCAAATGTGATCAAGTATGAGAAGAATTATTTGATCAGACAAAGAAAAAATGTAACTAGTCTCACACATTTTCTGAACTGGTACTGATGCGCTTATGTACATGTGTACAATATACATTTAAATTGATGCGTAATAAGACTTAATCCTCAATAAATCGGAAACTTATGTATAAATCTACAAAAATCACAAGGTTGTGAAAACAAAGGACTAAAAAAGGTCGTAATGCCCCTTTCTGCCTCAAATTGGGTGGTGTGGTCCAGGAGATGTAAAGATGTTGTAGTGCGGAACAGGCGCTGGTGAAGCAGGACCCAGAGGAGGCACCGCCTGTACGACAGGTGCTGGTTTTGATGGTGAAATCTGAAGCATCAGGTGAACATTATCTTATTAATAGGAAATTAAAGGCCTTTTGACACTTTTGCTGGATAGTAACATAATTCATTTTTAACATACCTGCTCCATTTCTGCATCCATAACACCTTCAAAGGGTTTCGGGATGATTCTTTCACGTAGTTTGTTATACTCTTCAATAAAGTAATCCATATCAGGATGATTGGCACTTTTGAAGAACTAAACAGTGATATGAACTAGCCAAGAAATAGAAGAAGATGTAAAAAGAGACATGTCCTACCTCAACGTCGAAATCTTTCATCAGGGTCATGCAATGTGGCTGTCCCCATATAAAACCTATTTGACTTATCAGCTTAAACA